TAAGAGGCATCCAGTCCTCTTGGAATGCCATGTGTGCGAACAAGGCACGCGGGCATCATCATATCTTCATCGATGGTCACGCGGGGTCTAGTGCTTAGTCTAGTGAGCCAGCGCAGTGGTGATTTGCCCCAGTGTGATGGCGCTTCCCTGCGATAGAAGGCACGGAGTCCTGGCGCTACGCAGGCCGGCTTGCATGTGGCTTGACGTCGCTGCTTCCACCAGGACCGCTGGACCCCCTGACCAGAGACTTCCTCGCTGAAGCTACTTGCCATGCAGTAACACAATCTTGTAGTAAGCATTTCTTCGTTCCCAGCTATGGAGCTTTCATGGAGCTTTTGAAGTAATGTTCTAACACAGACATTTTTTGCCCAGGACCCTAAGCTCAGTCCCGCAGTAGTCAGCTGCAGATCCTAGGTAGACCATCGCCCAGCCAACAGTCAGAGCAAATTGTTGGATGCGCATGGCCTCTTTGCCGCTTACTGCCACGGACACGTGTCTAGTCAGATCATGTCTCTCCTGCGGTCGCAGCGCTTCTTCACTTCCTCTGAGCCGGCGGACTTTGCCATGTTCTTAGGGGGTAGTGACCCCGGCTATTGACCTGTCCATGAGTTCAGCAAAGCTTGGATCTCACGTGTCGCAGCGCTGCTGCTGGGAGAGAGAGAGGATGTTGATAGCTGGGAGGATTTGGACGATGATGGTGCGGATCTCCGCTTCCAGCACATCTGCCTTCAGAGTGTGTCCCAAAAGGCCCTGACACTGAGTTGGCAGAAGCGACAGCCTGTGGGAAAAGAAGAGGCCATGTCTCGGCAGGCGCTGAAGAATGGAGGGACAGAGCGGCAAGAGGTGCTGTATGCTGTTAAGGGCAAGCGAGACCATGCCATCCAGGAGCTCAGCAGCCAGCTTTCAGTGGAACTCCTGGAGAAGCATGAAGATCTGCCAGCTGCAGAGCTACCAGGGTGGTTCTGGGCCGATGCCGAGGACCCAGGCATGTTACAGGCCCGGCAGCTCTTCTATTTGGTCACTGGCCAAGATTTGCCAGAAGAGCACCAGCCACTAGTGCGAAGCGTGGTCACGCAGAAGAGCCCTGGAGAGGAAGACCTCAGCAAACTCTTTATGCTCATTTTGGCCACGGTATCCAGCAGTCTTGTCTCAAGCAGTCATCTTCACGTCGCGTTCCAGAGCTTATCCGCCTCTCGGACACAGCTGCTGCGTTTTGGGAAAAACCTGCTGCCCGGCACGTTGGATTCCAGCCCCGCAGACCTTCGCAGCTTGTTGGTCTTAGGCAGCCTTTGCTGGCGCTTGCTCACCTGCCTGCAGGATGCCTACTGCCTACTTGGTGGCGAGGGTGCCCTCTTCAAGAGCCACTTGCGCCTGGATGGTGGCCCTGTGGTTCTCACAGAGGCAGGCCCAGTGAGGAAGGCCGCAAACGGCTACAGGGTTGGCCTGCGAGGATGGGATGATGAGCAGGTCATCACGGCAGATCAGCTCGAGCAAGTGAGGGGTCGTTTGCAGCGGGAGGGGGCTGAGATTGCTCAATCCAGGGATGGCAAACTTCCCATCGTCAAGAACTTGAGTGGTGAGGTTGCCTTCAAGTTTCACCGCCGATGGATGATCCTCTCAGGTGCCCCTGCAAAGCTTGAGGTGAAGGCACTGGATTGAGAGATCGGTGTTCCTTGGGCTTGGCTGGTGGTGGTGCTTCCATTGTCAACTAAATTCTATCTTTTCATCAGTACTGCTTACTTAGACGTGTTCTCATATGCTTGGTACATACTTGCTACATCCGATGGCTACTCAGTCATTTATTGGCTGCTGCCGTTCCCAATTACTTTTATTTGTGTTACAATTACTTTTCTTCCTATTAAACCTTTTACTACTATTATCACTATTATTACCACAATGGATTTTGTGGGCAAGGCTGCGCTGATGCCTTTGCACCATGTGTTGGTGCACCAGCGCCTGTACAGTTTGTCCACAGTCCTGCTCAGCTGCTGGCAACACAAGGCTTTTATGTGATTTTTGGGGTTCAGCTATCCGAAAACTCAGCACCCCTGGCATTTAAAGAGTTGTTGTAATGTAGGAAACACGTGACTATTGTGGTTGTCATTGGCTGTGCAGCACACAGATTCGCGGTGCCATCATGCACCGCCATGCAACATGTACAGCAGAATCACGTGAATAGCGTATTGCATCATTGCTCTAAGAATTGGCGTGTTTGCAACGCTCGAACTCCCCTAAGCCCATACCCTTAGATATTTCTTATAGTCCCTATATGGCTACCGCTCAGTAT